TGAAATATAATATTCATATTTTGTGTAGAATGATTGTTCTAAATTTTACAACCTATGTTTTCAAAATAATTCTATTGAGGAAATTAGATTCTAAACTTGACCAAATGTTTTCTATTAAACTTAGTGCTCCTGTTTCATCCAATTTTATGTATGCCTACCAATTGAAGAGATATTAACTTACTGTTTTCGCCTCTCCCTCTTATGCTTTGTTTGTGGTACAACAGCAAGTAAGGATCTTGCCCAGACATCTTACTTCATGGCTACCAACAGGTTTTTATCTTCTTCATTTTAGGTTCATGATAGTAGATTATTTTAGTTCTATTATTGCTGTTCGTGATTGTGCGTGAAGCAAAATTATTGTATCAACATATGGTGAACACAAAACATAACTTATTCGATCTTTGGTTCTCAGAATAGTTTAACTGTATTTCCATGTAGTGAATATGTATGTTTATCTTGTTATTTCTTTGTTTTGAAAAACAAACCAAAGTATTTTAATGTACCAAATAATGTGTTTCAATAATAGGTGGGTCATTCTAACTCAAACGTGTAGATTTAGTTGAACGTTAATTATGTTTAATTTATTTTGTACCAGACTGTGGAGCTGAGGTTCCATAGTTCACAAGTGGTTGATGTACCAGACTGTGGAGCTGAGGTTCCATAGTTCATATGTGGTTGATGTACCAGACTGTGGAGCTGAGGTTCCATGGTTCACAAGTGGTTGATGTAACAGACTGTGGAGCTGAGATTCCATAGTTCACATGTGGTTGATGTACCAGACTGTGGAGCTGAGGTTCCATAGTTCACATGTGGTTGATGTACCAGACTGTGGTGCTGAGGTTTCATGGTTCACATGTGGTTGATGTACCAGACTGTGGAGCTGAGGTTCCATGGTTCACAAGTGGTTGATGTACCAGACTGTGGAGCTGAGGTTCCATAGTTCACAAGTGGTTGATGTACCATACTGTGGAGCTGAGGTTTCATGGTTCACAAGTGGTTGATGTACCAGACTGTGGAGCTGAGGTTCCATGGTTCACATCTAATTACTGTCAAACATTTGGAGCAGTGAGTGAACTATAACAATGGTGGTGAAATCCGACAGGAGTAGCCCAAGAGGGTGGTGTTGGCAAGCTGCCTTCCCTTTAGTCTGCCAGTTCATAGTTCAGATAGCCCTCGTGTAGCTCTGTGCGAAATTCAAACAATTATTATAATAGTTTCAGAAAGATGGGGTATGCTTTCTCTCTATAGTCACACGCATTGTATCTATAGTCACACACATTGTATCTATAGTCACACACATTGTATCTATAGTCACACATTGTATCTATAGTCACACACATTGTATCTATAGTCACACATCGTATCTATAGTCACACACATTGTCTTTATACTTATAAAATGACTGTCACCCATCAACGTTCACAGGAGGAGAAATTATAATACTTCCAATATAAGGAATTGATAATTAATTTTCCTTTCCAGTTTGCATCTGACAACGATGTGCCTTCAGTACAGACCAACATTTGTAGCCTGTGTTTGTATTCATCTAGCATGTAAATGGTCTAATTGGGAGGTAATCTTTTTAAAACCTGTTACTAACTAATTTTGACAGTATCATATTAATCCTCTTGGCAATTATCAAGAATGATAAGGGACATTATGTATTATGAAAGATAAGGGACATTATGTATTATGAAAGATAAGGGACATTATGTATTGTGAAAGATAAGGGACTTTATTTATTGTGAAAAATAAGGGACTTTATGTATTATGAAAAATAAGGGACATTATGTATTATGAAAGATAAGGGACTTTATGTATTATGAAAGATAAGGGACATTTTTTAATGTCAATGAACTACTGTATTTTAACAACACAGGATAAAGACTATAAATCAACTTTTAATGTCAATGAACTACTGTATTTTAACAACACAGGATAAAGACTATAAATCAACTTTTAATGTCAATGAACTACTGTATTTTAACAACACAGGATAAAGACTATAAATCAACTTTTAATGTCAATGAACTACTGTATTTTAACAACACAGGATAAAGACTATAAATCAACTTTTAATGTCAATGAACTACTGTATTTTAACAACACATGTATTTTAACCCTCCATACAAGTCCTTTTATTCCAAATTATACCTACTTTTGCTAAACTCATTTTTCTCTTTAGTTTACTGGGACACTTGTCCAAGATTTCCAGAAACTCGGACGTTAGTTCTAACAAAAAGAATACAAATACATCATAATATACTACAGTGTGTGTATTAATAAATACACAGTTTTACTTTTATTGTGGACTTTATCTTTTGAATACAAAAACTTAAACCTTTACCAAGGAGTTTTTCTATTATTCACTGGTTTCCAGTCATTATTTTAGGAAACAAAAGTGATACAGTGGTCAACTAGTTTTCAAACTAACCAAGACACTTATTATTCATGACTCACAAAATTTTAAACTTCCCATTACATTAGTTGCTATTACAAACTGAAAAACTAAACAATGGAATTATTTAAATTTTTAACAACTATACAAACCTACAAAAGAAACAGCACAAATTGAGTAGTAAGTCATTACACAAAACCAAGATCTGCTTTAATTATAACAAATACACAGAAAATCCAGTTGACAAATGAGAACTATTCTTTAACCCTAAAACTGCAGTTGACATCATATGATGCAAGCATTTTGAATGGCCTGCTGCCAAAAATCGAGAATCTTTGCTCATGGGGTGGTAGGCAGATTTACATAAGCTACAAATGAATGGTTTCTTTTATTGCATTTTACCTCAGCAATACTAACATGATAACTCATAATAAAAATACTATCCACTGACTACTTTACATTGTACCTTGGCTAAAGAAATTACCTTTATTTTACTACTTCTTTACAGCAAATGTTGCTATGCTCAATTCTTTTTAAACTCAGCTTTTTTAATCATACAAAAATCTTTCAACCAAATTTTAGTTTATTCAAGTTCCATCCTTTATTGTATAAAAGACTAGTTTTTTTGGAAATAATCAATTTTACTAAATACTACAAACCTTCGAGAAGTTCCGAAGTAACACTCTTGTCTACGTACCAAAACCATTCCTTCCCTTCATTGGACTTGGGAATCTACAAGTTAGAGTTTGTACTATTTCAAATTACAATATTTCATTTCCTGAATCATATATATATATATATACTCTGTTTGTTTTGTTAACTTCTCTGTTTTTGGCTAGATCCCACACTAACTATATATTCATTCAATTCTTACATTTATAGCATGGACTTATTATAACTCTTCGGCAATCTGTACAACTCCAACACAAATAAGATCCACAAGATAAACTTAAGTAAAAACAACAACCTTGCATACGAACTCTTATTCCTTTATCTTTCATAATACATAATGTCCCTTATCTTTCATAATACATAATGTCCCTTATCTTTCACAATAAAGTCCCTTATCTTTCACAATACATAATGTCCCTTATCTTTCACAATACATAATGTCCCTTATCTTTCACAATAAAGTCCCTTATCTTTCATAATACATAATGTCCCTTATCTTTCACAATAGTCTCTTATCTTTCATAATACATAATGTCCCTTATCTTTCACAATACAGTCTCTTATCTTTCATAATACATAATGTCCCTTATCTTTCACAATCAAGTCCCTTATTTTTCATAATACATGTTGATTTATAGGGTTTATCCTGTGTTGTTAAAATACAGTAGTTCATTGACATTAAAAGTTGATTTATAGTCTTTATCCTGTGTTGTTAAAATACAGTAATTCCTTGACATTAAATGTTGATTTATAGTATTTATCCTGTGTTGTTAAAATACAATAATTCCTTGACATTAAATGTTGATTTATAGTCTTTATCCTGTGTTGTTAAAATACAGTTGTTCATTGACATTAAAAGTTGATTTGTAGTCTTTATCCTGTATTGTTAAAATACAGTAGTTCATTGACATTAAAAGTTGATTTATAGTCTTTATCCAGTGTTGTTCAAATGATATACTGCACATTGTTTTACTCATGATGCATGCATGTTTATATTTAGTATATATGATACATTGCACATTGATTTTCTCACAATGTATGTATGTTTGTTATATGATGTGTGATATACTGCACATTGTTTTTCTCACAATGCATGCAAGTTTATTATATGAAGTATGACATACTGCACCATTTGAAATGATTTTCGTATCTTTACAATAAAATATCCCTACAATCAACAGGGAAATATCTATTGTTCAATTCTCTTTGCTACTCTGGCAGAGGTGGAGGCTGTTCTGGAGGGGGTGATGTTGGCCCTGAATGACCAAAAGACCGTGAAACAGCTTGATGGTGATAGTTACCTATGTTCGTGGACACGTGTTGACAAGGATAATACTGTTCGAATGGGATTCCTTGATGTGTACTCCTCGTGTACCGAGGATGAGAAAGTCTTGGCTGAGTAATTCTATTCCTTTGATGCATCTATCCCACTTCATCTGTATGCTGGTGACCACGAGGTACCTCTGCATGACCAGCCTTGTTCTGCCTGTGTCTGTGCTTTTTTAAGGGATTCAAGTTGGAAACTGACTCAGCTTTCTCGTACTGCCCTCCTTTTTGGCCTGATGAAGAGCAACTATCCAATTTTGATAGTTTTGGGAATTTTTTTATAGTTGAACCTTTTGGGTCGTGCTCTCTTTTCCTAGATTCCTTTTCAAGCTTGGAAATAGTTTTACTGTGTGAACTTGAATTAATTCTGTCTTTTGATATTACTAACTTTAAAGTAGAACCAGAGGAACCACTATTTTCTGTTGAAAGAGGTGGTCCTCTGGGACTTTCTTCTACACCGACATTCACTTTGGGAATGGGGATTGTTAAATCCTTTCTGTGCTGCATGGCTGACTTAGAATCTTGATTATGAGAATTAATTTTTTCTTTTGGAATTTTAATCTTAAGGCTTGACGATGATTTGGAAGAGTTTTTTGACACCAATTTTGAAACTTTAGTTTCCCCTGAATGTTCATTTTTGTATCTGAGGTTCACAACATGGTCATCAGAAAAGGATAACTTTGAACTTTTACAAACATCACCATTGACATCACTTTCTGATTTTCTAGGTTTAGCAGGAGTCTGAGATAACCTTTCTAAACGAGGGCTCTTTCTGTTTGAACTATCATCTTTGTCCTGACATATGTGAGACACAGACTGCTGCTGGGAAGCACTGGAAACTTTAGAGTTTTCTCGTTTCTTACCTGGTCCGCAAATGGTTGTCGAAGATTTCTTACCTAAGCTGGAAGAATGTTGTTTAAATTGAGAACTGGTGACCAACTTGTTAGAGTTCTTTTTAACTTTCAAAGACTTCACTGAACTAAGCCCATCAGTGGTACTGTTAGTCTGTAATCGAGAAGACTCTACAATTTCCTTTCTACTAACCCCTATGGATAATGGATGAGGGTCATTTCCCTGCTTTTTAATGTTACCACTAGAACAGCTGTTCTGTTCATCAACTGATAATACATTAAGTGTAGCACTTGCAGCCTCACCTTTCCTTCTATTGCTCTTCCTAGAATTTGCACTACTATCCATTTCACATCTTTCCCGGGATTTCTCCTTATTACCATTGTGTGTTTGGTAACTATGACGTTTCTTTTCTTTTAATTCCGAAGAACTGACATTTTTCTTACGATCATCTTGCGGAGCTTGTTTCTCCACATCTTTCTTCTCTTTCATTCTTCTGTAGGCAGCAAGAGATATTGTGACGCTGCCTTGTTTGTTTGGAGAAATGTCCTGTGAAGAAGATGAACGGGTCAGCATAGGAGTAGATGATACGTGAACTGATGAATGATCTGAATTTACTGCAGGTTCACCTGCCAAAGGTCTTACCAATTGTTTTGGTGACAGAGAACTTCTAGAATGTTCTTTGATACTTTCATGATTACATTTAATTTCTTTATGTGAAAGTGGAGACGTTCCATCTTTGGTTTTCTTCTCTATGGGTAAAATCTCCTAAATAAGAAAAATACACCTTTAATGTCAATGAACTACTGTATTTTAACAACATAGGATAAAGACTACAAATCAACTTTTAATGTCAATGAACTACTGTATTTTAACAACACAGGATAAAGACTATAAATCAACTTTTAATGTCAATGAACTACTGTACCACATCATATAACAAACATACATTGTGAGAAAATCAAC